ATATGAACTACCACGTCCCATAACTTAGTCTGCGCATATGAACTACCACATCCCAACACTTACTTGGTCAACACATATGAACTACCACATCCTAACACTTACTTGGTCAGCGCGTATGAACTACCACATCCTAACACTTACTTGGTCAGCGCGTATGTCCAGTTCGCGATGGTACACCTGCAGGCAGTCATTCTCAGCTGCCTGTTTCTGCGTCAAAATGAAACTCTGCCACAGCGATGGGATCTTGGCCAGAGACCCCCCAAGGTTGGTGCCATTGACGACCAGCTGTAGCAGCGTAGCCAGCCCTGCCCCTGTCATAGGCTCTTTCCTGCAGTCACGGAGGTCAGTACCGATAGATATGTGACCGGGTTTTAGGCTAAAACCCTAAAACCCTTAACCTCTTCTAGAAACCCCAAAGTGTCTATGTGGTGCTAGAGTTTGGGTGTGTTGCCTGTGGATGCGAATCACGGAACTACTACACGCGAACAACTGACATACGTTCACTGCGCAACGATCCATTGACACACATTGCAGACAGTCCATGCCCAACAACTCCACATAACAAGCAATCCCAAGAATGGAATGGTGACATCGCGCAGAAAACAGTGAGATTGGCGTCGACATTTCACAGATTACTATCTATACACGCAATTACGGGAATACAACCCTCCTATATATATATATATATATATAATATATAGCTACAGTCGCATACTTTTGCGCACCCACACACCCGTATGTAGTTTTAGCTGTAAGCGTGTTCGCTATAGCTTTTTGGAGTGCTGCCAGATCTGCCTGGTAGTCGTCTGTCAGGTCATCATTCGACGCAAGGCTCAAGTCCTGCAGATGATCCCTTTTGATGGAAGGCTTCACGATGCAAAATAGCAGACACAAATATTAATTATATATAATGCTATGCATCCAAACTTATATAATCTACATATGTTAAACGCTAGAAAATGATATATCTATATACATAAATATACATATTGATTCATGTATATAT